AAAAGTCCTCGAAATAAAATGAATATGCATAAACATTGTAGTTCTCTTGCTTCATTTAAGAAGGATGCTGAGAAACTCGTCGGTAATTGTGAGAGGATCGTATTAAAAATAAGTAATCGAAACTTGTCTAAATTATTTAATGAGACATGTCCTTATATATATATATATATATATATATATATATATATATGAATAAATTTAATCTTAAGATGTGCTATATTTAGTGGATAAATGCTCAATATCAGAGATAGAGCGTGTGTAAATATAAAATTGAACATAGAAGTCAACACTTAGAGGCGACAGTCTGTTTCATGCTAGACGCAATCGTCAGGCCACCTACGATTGCGTCTAGCATGAAACAGACTGTCGCCTCTAAGTGTTGACCTGTATGTTCACAACGATCAGCTTTAAAAATGGACTCGTAACTGGAAAAACCGAATGAAAAAAGAATGTTAACAACAAATACTTTTTCACCCCCAAACCCAGTTCTTCGGAATCAGAATCAACGTTGAGTTTAAGCAAGCGAATGAGCCAGTTGGATTAAAAGGCCATGCAGATTTAAATTTTCCCCACTTGTGACAAATGCAGCTATCGATTTTTTTTTGCATGCTAATTAACATTCGTGTCAGTCAGCTCTTAGCTCTCACGCTGGCCTGTAGGAAATGCCCGCAAACTACATGAAAACTGCCATAGAAGCATGTAATAATCGATTATTCCCACTATCGATGGGAGTTGGGAAATGCAAATCGGTCTTGGTCTTCCCTTAACTTGGAGCATGTGCATGTAAATTTGGGTGCAAATCTGTCGAAATCTGCGGCCGTACATTTGTTACACACACACACACACACACACACACACTGTCTTATATATATATATATATATATATATATATATATATATATATATATATATATATATATATATATATAGTAAAGATAAAACCTATCTGTTGGTATATAATCCAAGGGGATCCTAGTAATATAAAATAGTAAAACTAAACCACAAATACAGCTCAATGTATTTATTATTTCAGAGCAATAAGATTAATAAAGAATAAAATCCAAAATTACCTCATACAGGGAATAGCCTATTTCGGCAGATGATGATATCGGTCGTCTGTCGAGAATCTCGTGATATATAGAGGGAGCACCAGGCCAGATATGCCAACAGTATTCAATACACGGACGAATGACTGATTAGTAAACGTGCATGATGAATTCCAAGGGGGAAAAATGTCTGGTACGGCATAGTGACCCAACCTTCTTTTCAGCAGACCTAACAATTGATTAAACAGATAGATAGATAGATAGATAGATAGATAGATAGATAGATAGATAGATTTATATTTCTCTCTGTACTCTCAGAAACATCAATCGAATGCGAATGAAGAAAAGAATATTCAGTTATTACACGCAAGAATTATTTCCTTTTTAACACCGAAAACAATTATATACCATCATAGGATAAACATGTTTGCCGGGAAATATTTGTTTGTGTTAACATCAATAATATTATCACAGGTGAATGTTTACATATGAATAAGCTATCATCAGGTTATCGATTCCTTTCGTTGCGTTGATATAAGCCATCGAAGAGAAGTGGAAATGATTTTCAATGATTATCTTCTTTGATAAACAGCTGTCTGCAGGAAAATCAATAACGTGCTTGTTCAGTGATTGTTGTAAACATGCTGCTATTATAGAGAGATTCAAATGTTAAGTTTTTACATAAGCGGGTGATTGATAAATAAGGTCTCCTGTCTAAACATGTTGCTATCTTAGTGAGATTCAAATGTTAAGTTTTTACATAAGCGGGTGATTGATAAATAAGGTCTCCTGTCTAAACATGTTGCTATCTTAGTGAGATTCAAATGTTAAGTTTTTACATAAACGGGTGATTGATAAATAAAGTCTCCTGTCCAAACATGTTGCTATCTTAATGAGATTCAAATGTTAAACATTTACATGCGCGGGTGATTGTTAAATAAGGTGTCCTGTCCAAACAAGTTGCTATGATAGATTTAAATCTTAAATTTTTTACATACACAGGTGATTGATTGAAAGCTCAAACAGAATGCCTAATTATTGCAGCTCAGGTCCAAAGCCTCGCAACCAGATGCTATCACTGTACTATAATCAAGGGTGGAACTAACTTGACATGCAGGATGTGCAGAAAATATGATGAAGCTGTCGACCATATTATCTCAGGATAACCAGGACTGGCAAAAAAATCAATATACCCATAGACTTAAAAAGGTAGTGACATGTTTGCACTGGGATATGTGCAAGAAGCACAACATCGAAACGACTGAGAGATTTGCATGAGCACCAACCAGACACAGTTACCCAAAATAACGATGTAACTATCCTCCAGGATATGTCAATTCAAACTGACATGGCAATAAAAGCCAACAGACCTGATATTATCATAAAAGACAAGAAATTCAGGAATTGTATGCTTATTGACTTAGTAGTACCATCTGAGAGAAGCACCTCCATGAAAATTATCGAGAAATTGTCCAAATACAAGAACTTGGAGATCGATAAAAACAGGATATGGGGAATGAAGCCTGAGAGTGTACCAATAGTAATCGAAGCTCTTGGGTTCGTGATAAAAAGAATGGACAATTTTTAATATAACGAACCAAACGACGGTGATATACACTGTTCAACTGTCAAACTCTCTGCCTCGGCGGAGAGGAACTCGGAAGAAGCTTTGCCGAAGGGAAAAGTTTCGTCCGGGGCGGTAGACAGGCCCTGAACCCGTCCAGGCGGGTTCAAAGGGAATCTTTTTGGCCGAGCGTACGGGCTCGGAGAACCCACGCTAAACCGGCCTTGTGCCACATACGACCAACGTAGGGGAGGGCCGTTAAATATAACGAACCAAACGGGAATTGGAACTTGGATCACCGGTTAACAATTCCATGCCATTATTTCCTTTCACCACCAACACATCCAAGCATACAGCACCTGATAGTCTATAGCGGTCACCGATCTTGTTACTGACCAGTGTCGACGTTCCTTAACTTCTGTTATCGCTCGGGAACCGGTGTTTTAATGTAACATGGCTGTAAGTATGGAAATTGGATAGCTGGAACTGTTCAGAAGCTTACACTGGCTGCCCTAGCAAGAAGTCATAAGTCATCGTGACTGAGGGTTTCAGCGTACTGACCTTGTTCAGACTGCAGTGTCTCAGGTAATATCAACATATAAGATCTCCAGACGATCGTCTTACTAGGAACATCCCATGTGCCAAGAAAATATCCAAGAAATAAATAACAATTCTCCTAGAAGGGCAAAGGGTCATAATTTGGTCCCGGCTCTATAGGATACAAAGTAGGAAACATAACATACACAAATGATAATAATAATAATAATAATAATAATAATAACAATAGCCGTCTACTCGTTTTAAAGCACCCCCGCCTTTTAGGCTGGCTAGCGAATCCCTGCTGCAGGTGCATGCTCAGGAACATATGTGTTTTTGCAAGACATATAGATCCGCAACTAAACCGATCGGAACTTAGGGGTTCTGGGGGAGAGCTTATCATATAGCGTAATCAGCCATCTGAACAAGGTCAGTACGCTGAAATCCTCAGTCACGATGACTTATGACTTCTTGCTAGTACAGCCAGTTGAGGCTTCTGAACAGTTCCAGCTAACCAATTTTACTCAGACTTACAGTCATGTCACGTTAAAAGACCGATTCCCGTACGATCACCGAAGTTAAGGAACGTCGAGACTGGTCAGTAGTAAGATGGGTGACGGCTAGACAATACCAGGTGCTGTATGCTTGGATCTGCAGGTGGTGAAAGGAAATAATGGCACAGAATTGTTAATCGGAGAGCCGAGTTCCAATTCCCGTTGGGTTCGTTATATTCACTTACGAGCAAATACCATTTGGAATGGTATGAATTCGCTTCTTCACACTCCAGTGTTATGGGGTCTTACCCATAATAATAATAATGGACTATTCCATACTTAATAAATACTGCGCCTCAGGAGTAGTTCAAGGAGAGTCAGTCGTTCAAGTGGAGTCAGTAGTTCAAGTCGAGTCAAGAGTCGAGTCAGAGGCAGTCCGAAACAGAGTCGCGTTCAGACAATTACTGCAAGACATTGGAATAGTGATACTGGTCGAGACTACATTGTTCTCTCTACTAAATCTGATTGTTCATACTAACACTTCTACTTCTCTGTATATATTCCTGTTTGTAATATATCTGTGTTATTCCATACCTATGTTCGAGTTCTTCTTTATTGGTTCTACCTTGGACTATCACCGTGGTACAAGGAACCGGACCATAACAATTTTTACTCCCTTGCAAACGAAATCAGTGTCTTTCTACTTCTCTGTATATATTCCTGTTAGTAATATATCTGTGTTATTCTATACCTATGTTCGAGTTCTTCTTTATTGGTTCTAACTTGGACTATCACCGTGGTACAAGGAATCGGACCATAACATCCAGCTATGGGTTAATTAGTGAGATCTGTATCACTAAAACCATTATCTACCCTCAAAATAACATAAAATTACGTAGAAAATATTTAGACTTTAAATAACCCAGAGAGTTTGATATGCCACTAATTAAATACAACCGTCTTCAATCAGTCAAACTATAGTATATTTTCAAATGTGTAAATATATATATATATATATATATATATATATATATATATATATAATGGTTTGTAACACCCTATTTATCATCTCTCAGTTGCGTCTCTGTCCCTGGGTATAGTGCACTTCGGCGACTGCATCAAAGGACAGAGTCGCAACTGAGAGGTGCCCAGTCATGGGGAACAGCTTTCCGAGGCCGCGCCATTCATAGCACCAGAGAGAGGGATCGGTGATCGCATCGAGGCCAGTGCAACCGACGGTTACGGGGACTGCTGGCAATTATTATTCCTTGCCCGGGGTTTACACGCTCGGGACCCTTAAAAAATGACCTTGTGTTACAACTCGTCTTAGTGGAGAAACAGAGTAAATACCTAGTATGATTTCAAGTACTTCCCAAAGGTGCCCTCATGCTGGGGTCACGTCCTCAGCCCGAAAATAGGAAGTTACCTTTCTGACAATTCGACCATGGAGATATTCCAATGTTTAGAATGCGAGCGTTTCACCCACCCGGCACACGAAAATATGCGAATTCATAAAGAGGACCTTGGAGAGTCAAGAAGAAAAAAAAACATATCTCCCACTAATCAAGTATCTTATTATTATAATAACATTTATTGTTTGAATAATTAATATATCTTTTATTATACGAATCTGTTAAAGTGCAATAATATTGACCACGTTCATAAACTGATCACCCAAGGAATCGATGCGACGTCAGAAAAACAGCAAAAAATATTTTAAAAAAACAAAAAACAGTCTGATGGGAAAGTGATGAGTCAAATGACTGATTAATCGATCTTTCGAGAGGAAACAGACAAGTGATTGTATCGTTGTATGACGGAGAGTAGAGATGCAATCAGGTGGCAGGTTAAAGTATGGCAGCTGAAGTGAAGGGGCTTAATTACCCAATGTTCAGGAATAACAAACATCGACATCACTATGACGGCTAATTAACTTAATAGTCAAATGTTGCAGAAAATTCATCCAATTTTTTTCTTTAATTTTGAGAAAAATATGCTTATTTCTTCTCTTCTTTTTTCTTTCATTTTATTTTTTTTTCTTTTCTCGGGAAATAATACTATATATTTTTTTTCTTTCGAAATGATATGCATACTTTCTTTATCTTTCTTTCATTCATTCTTTTTCTATAGTTTTGAATTTATACGCCAACTTTTTTCTTTCATTTATCTTTTGAAATAATACGCCTACCTCTTTTTCTTTCTTAATTTCATTCATTCATTTTTTTCCCTTTTGTAATAATACACCAGTTTTTCTTTTTTCTTTCATTAATTTTTCTGTTCTTGCGAAATATTACTTTTTTTTTCTTTTTTCTTTCTTTCATTCATTCTGTTTTCTTTTTTTTTTTTTTGAAATAATACGCCCACACCTTTTTATTCTTTCTTTCATTTTTCTTTTCTTTATCGAAGTCATACACTTAATTATTTTCTCTTTTTTTTTCGCTTACCCATTTTCCTCATTTATTTTGGATTAATGTCCAATTCTCTTTTTCTGTCATTCATTTTAGTTTTGACCGTTTTGAAAAAGTATTCCCTTTTCTTCATTTCTTCTTTCTTTCTTCATCCATTTTTCTTCTTTTCAATTAATATACTTTTTCTCTTTTTCTTTCTTTCGTTTTATACATTCTTTTCTGTCACGTCATTTTTCTTCTTTACTTTTTCTTCCTTACGACGTTCTCATTCTTTCTTTCTTTCCTTCTATCCAACCCTCTCTAGCTTTAATTTCCATGTTTCGCATTATCGTCACATCATGGAGTCATAAAGTCAGCTCCTTCTACCGCAGCCCTTAATATCGCTAGTGCGTATTTAGGCGAGATAACCTGACGGATCCCAACCCTCCAAAAACTGATTTTGGAATTCAAAATTTTCTTTCTCCTAGGTTGACTTCCATCTCAAGGCAAGAAGACTCGGTTTACTTAGCTATTTAACCCATAGGTCATTTATAGAAAGTGTATGAAATAAAATCGAGCGGCAATTAAAACCTGAAAGCTGAATTTAATTTCCGCACTGATAACCGTTATAACTTTTCTCCTGTTTATTTTTATTACATTTATACATTTTTTTTAATTTCATTTTTTATTCCTTCATTTTTTATCCCTTCATTTTTTATTCCTTCATTTTTTATCTCAAGGTAACTTCCATTTTCTTTTTCTTTTGTTTCTCAGATTTCCGTTTTTTTTTTATAACCCCATTTTCAAATATTTTCATTTTATTTCATTTAAATCCCACACTTCTTTCTTACAATTCTTTTTCTTTTCTTTTTTTGTACCCCGTTTATTTGTTTCTTTTTCTAGATCTTTTTTCTTTCTATTTCTTTCTTCTTGTGGCATTTTTGTACTCTTCATTCAGTGTTTCATTTTGTCGTAGATATTTTTTCCCTTTCGTTTTTCTTTTCTTCTTATGGATTTTTTTTTTCTGTTTTTCTTTTGGATCATTTTTCACTATTTTTTTCTTTCTTGCCGATGAATTTTTTCTCTTTCGATCTTTGGTCTGTCTGTTTTTTCTTTCTTTCTTCTGCAGATCTTTTTTCTTTCGTTCGTTCTCTCTTTCATTCTTTCATTTTTATAGATTTTTTTTCTTTCTTACTTCTCAATCTTTTTTCACTTCCGTTCTTAATTTCTTTCTTGGTATGAATTCTTTACTTATCTTTCCTTTTCGTTTTTGTTATTTCTTTCTTTATTTATTTTTATGGATTTTTTTTCTTTTCTTTATCTCATTCTTTCTTGTTGTAGATCATTTTTTCTTTCATTCTTTCTTTCTTCTTATGGATTTGTTTTCTTTCAGTCTCTCTTTCTCTCATTCCTTCTTTCGCTCCTTCATTCTTTTGCCCGTTCCTTCTTTTTTTCATTCTTTCTTCTTATGAACTTTTTTATTTTCTCTCTTTTTTTCTTATTGCAGGTCTATTTTTCTCTTTTGTTTTTCTTTATTTCTTTCTTTTTCACTTTCGTTCTTCCTTTTTTTCTTATCATGGATTCTTTCTTTTCTGTCTTTTGTACTTGTGATCTTTTTCTCTTTTGTTTTTTTTTTTCTTCTTATGTTTCTTATATTTTTTTCTTTTCTTACAGTCTTTCTTTTTATAAATCTTTTTTCTCTTTCTTTCTTTCTTTTTATTGATTTCCCTCTTCTTTTCTCTGCCTTTCTTTCTTTTTGTATACCTTTTGCCTCATTTTTTTCTTTCTTTCTTTCTTTTATGCTTTATTCCGTTTTGGGGTTCTATTTTTTTTCTCCATTCCGTTTTTTAGCTTTTCCTTCTCCAGAATGCCGCCATTTTTTTTATCCAGATTCTTTTGCTTTGTATTCCATCACCACATTTCTTTAGTCATCCATTTTCTCTCTTTTCTCTTTTACAAAACTTATTTTCATTATGTAATCATCTGTCAATGTCACTAGCGGGAAATTAACACACAAAATGTCGAATCTGCGAAATCAATACACGACTAATTCAGCTGTCGATGATGCTAAGAACAATGCTGTAAATGATAATTGAAATAAACAAATTTGTTAAATAGATTTTAGTTTCATCTTAACGAATCAATGAGTTAATATAATTCCTGGGATCAGAGGCTACTTACTTTCTTCATTTTTGTTTGGCCAACAGTAAAATTAATTTTCATCTTAAATTATGTTCTACATGATGCAATGTATCAGTTAAAAGGAGTTTAGTCTATTTTAGCTATCCAATCAAAATTAAGACAAACTCATGAGACCAAAAGAAACTATATTTTTTTTGTTTTACCCTGGATGTGCACGGAAATTAAATTCGGTGTGCCGAGTTTGGTTTCTGGTCGAGTTTGTTGTGTAAATTTTCGCACAAATACCTTGGGAAAAGGGAGGAAGACATTTCTTCTCGCAGGACAGACTAAGCTCTCTAGACTTGTTTGCCAACCACTCTAGAAGGACAAGCGCAAAACATGTTGGGCGTGAGACTAGTAAATAGAAACTTATTTACTTATTTTTTTTTTTAAGCGTTTCACCCCAAGCAAGGCGGGAAGCCACTAGGATGCAAGGGGTTACAGGAAATAGCAAGATCAGACAGGAGTGATAGAAGAAAGGATGAGGGTAGTGGATAGATCAAGGCAACTGGAGATGTCGATTGACATTACACTTGAATAGCTGGAGATTATAGCTCACAGGGAAACAGGAGAAGGGAAGGGAGTTCCACAGGCGTGATGTGCGAGACATGAAGCTATTAGAGTAGAAGAGACGGCTACATTTAGGAGTTTCGACAGTGAAGGGGTGAGAGCGGGATGCTAGCCTCGTAAAGCGCTGGAACTCATGACGTTTGGGAACCAGCGAATGCAGCCCCTCGGAGCAATTTCCATGAAAGTATTTGTAGAACAGACCGAGGGATGCGACGGCGCGTCTGTGAGAAAGTGACCATATTGCATATCCGCCTCTAGAGCCTATCAAGAACCCCGAGGCAAACAGATAGGGCACCAGACCATATATGGCAGCAATACTCCATGCAAGGGCGAATTGTGGATTTGTATATCTGGAGGATCGACTCAGGGGAGAAAAACTTCCTAGCGCGGCTCAGGGAGCCAACTTTCCTCGCAGTGGACGAGGCAATTGAGTCGATGCATTTATTCCATCTCAGGTTAGCAGTTAACGTGAGACCGAGAAGCCGCAGAGAGTTGCTCTCGAGAAGTTGAGCGTCAGACATTCTAATGGAGGGAAGGGAAGGCTCTCTGTGGTGATTAATAGAGAGCAGTTTTATCTTAGAAGCGTTACTGCGGGAAATAATGTAGCGACATCTAGCGTGATGAGGCTGTGAACGTAGCGGGATGAATTTAATGTTACTGATGTTATAGACGAGCGTATGGTTGCAAGAAGAAAATACGACAACTGCAGAAATATATTTACGTGATTGATTTCAATAGGAACGTGTGGGTTTGGGACAGCTACCTTGCGGTATAGTTCATAAGCCGACTCCCGGTCTGGGTTGATCTCTCATAGTAGTTCTCACTGGTTGGCGTGGCGCTCCTCCTGCTGACTGCTGCTGAATGACCGTGACAGGTCTCTTCTCTAGCCCCTGTTGACTGCTGTTGTATTTCCCCGTGTGACCCTATTTATGGCGTATTTTATGGCTTAACAGGCTAGAAAAACAACGTGAGTATAATCAGAAGGGAAGCATTTTATTGGTCGAAAAATAGAAATACCTATAAATATTATTTTATTTTTCGACCGGAACTCGTGCGTCGGGCTTATGCGTAGACGACGATAATGGTCATTTTGTGACGGGGCCTTGTTCCGTTCACACCCGGCTCTCGTTCTTGAGTATGTTAGTTTATTTGCCTGCAAATCAGCCGAGATATGTCTTATTTTATTTTATAACAAGGCTCTCCCAGATTTCGGTCTGATTTACAGTGAGCGTTATTCGTGTATATTTGGGTGATTAATTCATGATAAAGTCTCCAGGATCGTCACTTGCGATTTCTTTTCTGTGTAATGTAGGTAGGCCGATGTTGGGGTGACGGCCAGTAATGGCATAGTGCGGGGAGACACCGGTGGCGCTGTTGGTCGTGGCATTCATGGACGAAACGACAGATTCTAGAACGTCTGTCCATTCACAGTTCCTGTCTTCGCATAACATATAAAGTGCGTTCTTCATCGTAAGATGTTGTCTCTCGATATTTCCTGAGATTTGCGGGCGCCAAGGACAGTGAAGTTCTTGCGTGATTGACATCTGGTTACAGAATTGTCGATAGACTTCTCTAGGGAAGTGTGTGCCTCGATCAGAGGATACTATGCGTGGAATCTCTCTGTGTCGAAGGAAGAACTGGTACAATCCGCGGGCGGCGTCGATAGCACGGTCTCTCGCGCATGGTATGGCTGTAAAGTGTCGGCTAAAGCTATCCAAGATGGTTAGGATGTAGTTTTCCCTTTGAGTTAGGCATTGGGACAAAGTCTACAAAAACGAGATCGAATTGTCTCTTTCCTCGTTTGCAGAGGCCAATGGGCCAGTGGGTACGTCTACCGTAGTTGCCTTTGCACTCAGCACACATGTCGCAAGAATCGACATAGGCCTTGATGTCGCGGTTTTTGAATTCCCACCAGTAGCTGGAAAGGAGTTCTCGCATACGGGTAACACCTGAGTGGTTGTTGCCCTCGTGTGCCTGGTAGAGGTAACTGGATCGTAGTTTGTATGAGAGTGTTTACTGTCTCTTATCATCAAAACGGAGGTGCCTGGTTCTAGAATAAATTGGTGCAAATGTTTTTTGAAAAGCGTAGCTCGGTGGTCGTCAGGGTCGATATGAGGTTCGCTTGGAGTGGGTGACTAGAGGGCGCTGATGATCTTTGCCAGGGCGTCGTCCTTCTGTTGTTCATTTGCGATGCCGAGGTGTTTGCAGATTCTCTCAGTGGAGATGGTGGTGGTAGAGTGATAGGCGAAAAATACGTTGGTGACGTGCTTGTGGGTGCGGGCCTTTTGTGGTGTGTGAGTTTTGGGAATGAGCTGTAAACCGTTAAACTCGCCGAGGCACCAAAATGGGATGTATACGCAGAGGTCTGAACCACTTACCTCGAATGTCTTGCCTGCCGGTGTAGGGTCGTTCGGGGCTTTCGTTTTCTTATGTCCGCAACATCTGCTGAGCATGTCAGCCCATACATTTGATTCGCCTTCGACATACTCTAAGACGAATTTATAACATGAAATTTCTTCTTGCCATCGTCGTATTTTGGCATTATTGAACTCTCGTTGGTCCAGATATGTCAGCGATATGTGGTCGGTGAAGATGACGAGTGGGCGATTGCAAAGGAAATAATCAAATTTCAATATTGCCCACTTTACTGCATATGCCTCTCGTTCCGTCGTGGACCAGTTCTGTTCCGTGGAGTTGAATGTATGGGAAGCGACCGCTATATCTTTCTTCCCGTTGTCGGCTTCTTGCATTAAGATTGCTCCACATGAGACGTCACTGGCGTTGGTGGTGAGTGTGAAAATTTTGGAGAAATCCGGAAACGAGATGACGGGTGGCGAAGAGAGACGCTCCTTGATTTTTTTGAAGGCTCTGTCGACATTTTGCGTCCAGATAAACGGTTTATTAACCTTGATTAGTTCGTGTATGGGACCCATAAGTTTTGAAAACATATCTGACATGTTTTGTTCGTGAAAACGTGTCTCTAGGAATTGTCTGATCCACACTAAACGGCCGATAAGGCTTTGTAATTCGTTTTTGATGTTGGAGGGTTCATTTCCCTGATGGCACGAACGGATTCTGGATCAGCCTTGAATCCTTCGCTGTTTACTATGCGTCCAAGGAATTTTTCCTCTGATGCGAGGAAGGAACATTTATCTGGATTCAGCTTGAGCCCGAATTTTCGGAGAGCAGTAAAAAATTGTTCGAGGGAGAGTATGTACTCCCTAAATGTCCTTGCGATGACCAGGTTGTCGTCGATATAGGAAGCAAAATTGTCACGGGATGTGGCCGTGGCTATGGCTTCTGTTTGCAACGGGAGAAGATTTGTTCGGCAGATGTAAGGCCGAAGGCCAGGCACGTGTGTTGATAGCATTAGTCCTTCCATGTAAATGCTGTTTTGATCGGTCTCGCTTGTCGATCTCAATTTGCCAGTAGCCGCTGCGTAGATCGAGGGTAGTAAAATATCTATTGCCTTTGCAGATTTTGTTGAACAAGTGGTCGATCCTTGGCATTGGATAAGGGTCAAGATCGACTAAGACCTTGTTGAGAGTTCTTTTAAAGTTAGCGACGACGCGAATCGATCTGTTTTTCTTCTGTACGGCAAATACAGGGTTATTGAAGCCTTTGGGGTCGCTGCAGTTTTCAATAATACCTTCATCGGCCATGCACTTAATTTCGGTATCAACGTCTGCTTCCAAAACCTGTGGGATCGGATGTTGTTTCT